ACGACTCTCTTACAAATATTTCTAAAAACGAAATTAAAACTTTAATAAGATACTTAATATAAAGGACAATGGAAGTTCGTCAAATGAAATTAAATCGGAGCGATACAAAAACAAGACGAATGACGTTCACATAGATTACATGGCCTGTAATGCGCTTACACAGTCAGGTCCAAGCAACATCCTCCGCAATTGCACATGTATGATTGGTAATACAGATTATACCCTGGATGAATATCATAGAATACTCCCAGTATACTTTGCTATAAGAGGCACCATGATTTTAGCCATTTCTAATTCACATGTCAGCGGTCACGAGATAAGTAAATTTTTGTTGATGAATATATTTTTATGCTCAAAAGGCGCTTCATGATGAGCTGGCATGGATAATCAAATTATATACAAGGAATATTAAATTCGCTACATTATGCTTTGACAAGGTCTACATTAGTTGGGATGCCTTACTGACGTCAGCATGCCTTGACAGTCGCAGACATTATGCCGATCTCTCTTTTGGCCTTACTGAATAAATCTATTACTGGAAGAGACAGTAGGAACCCCACTTGTAAAGTATCCGTGTGTTAAATTCTAGGAAGCGTACCCATTCTCGTGTCCCCAACCCGAAACCAAACCTTAACATTAATCTTAAAACTAAATTCCCTGGAATTTAGCCCAATTTTACCTATATTACGGGGTTTCTATTTTTTTTGTCTATCATAGTAGTCACTTAGCTCAGCATGCGTCTGCCCCTTTGATTCCAATGCCTAACGTTCACGAAAGCTTTGCTAAGCTTACTAATCTTATTGAAACCAAAATACCCACTGTCATAGCAATAAATATCTGGATCTGGTGCAGTTGCGGAAAGAAGCAACTACGTTGGAGAAACTGGGAGACTTCTAAAAACGCGAATTGTCGAACACGCGACAGAAGTGCGGAGAAATGAAGCCAATTATGGAGTCGCGGCTCATTCGGGGGGACCCAGCCACACATTCAAATCTGATGAGGCCGAAATTCTTGCGAGAGGTGACAGCTGTGTGAGTCACGAGTTACTTGAGTCATAGTTCGCGGACTTCCAGTCTATAAACAATTGCAGCGAATTGCCCAACGCAAGTTTCAGTTTGATCAAAACAATTCTTCACTCTGGGGAACCACAGACGAACGCATCTTCTAACACCAGCGTAGGGAACCTCATATCCGACCAATCATCACACCCAACTCCAGTGCGAGTGATGAAAGTTCATCGGAGACGACCCGTACGCCGACCATCAAGCAATTAGCGCGCAAGCAGGCAACTACCATAAATAGGGGGAAGCCGCTAATTGTCATAGGTATGCATTTGCATAGCGACTTTATCCTATAAATACTGCAACTCCCTGTGTATGGATTATCTGTTTCTGCTATTGTCTCTGATGATGGATTCGCAACGGATTTCAAAACATCAGGCGAATAAAAGTCTTGTCCAAGAGATCACATCTGCTTCCGTTCAATCTTACTAGTGGCCGAAATGAATTTGTCGTAAAGGTATGTGATGTAACTTAATCCTAAACAGCTCTTCGTTGCTCAAGTCTTAAAAAGATCACTAATATACCCCCTGCCCACTCGGTATCTGATAGGAGAATCCCAGCACAAAATACGTCTAAGAGATAGTACACCGTATGAGTGAGAGATTGTGGGAAGAATCTGGTCAGTTCTAATGGTGCAAACTTCATTCGCTTTACAAGAAAGACATCCTTGTAACATGAACAGATATGCTAACATTTATATCCATTGTGTGTTCCAAAAGCCCAAAACCGCCTAATCTTTAGCTTTAAGGGCATTTATACGTTATGTTATAAAATAGCGTTACTCCGTGCTACTACAAATCAAATGATGCTGCAGTCAATTAAACAAAGAGGCGGCGCGCAAACGAAGTATAATTAAAGATATATTTTCTGTAGGCAATGTACTGACAGAAATCGATATGACCTTCTTGCGTTCCTTGAAGGTCTAATATAGGTTTTTTATTAAGAGAAGCAGGATAAGTTGAAATGCTGAACTTTAGACTAGCCATATTATAGTAAATTATATGCAGATAAATGGGCATGGACGAATTAGCAAGCAATATAACGTGTAATGTGCACTCAAATATTAGCTCTCAGACCTCTGAAATTTGGAGAACCTGGGTGAAATATGTTACAACAGTAAGATCCGATGTCACTAAGAGTTTCATAAAGAAGTTTGCAAAACTTGGAAAAGGGGAATCAGTGAAAATTACGGAGCTAGAGTTCTGAACATTTGGACAGTTTATATATCACAGTCACAGTAACCGACTCCGTGAAACATACAGTAAAAAGTCCTAGGAATACACTGTCTTAAGGCGTCTGGTGACATTATCTGCGCCTGTGGTGCTAAGGATTAAGATGGCCACATGGCCTAAGCCTTAACTCCCATCTTACATATACCCTAATGAATTAGGTGTGGAATGGCCAACATGTTAACTAAACGCCTATTCTAAAAATCCCGGTTGATAAATTTAACAAAATTTTGTGAGATAAACTGGTTTATACCCTTCGTCAATGTCAATTTGTCAGTTAAATAAACAAACTGTGTTTGACTTATGAAATTGTTTAATACGTATGCCTTTAAGCCCTCTAACAAAACACATTAATTGAATGCCGAATTCTGACATGTCAAACTTTAATTGCTGCAGTCGTTCTATGTTTCAACTACCTGAAAAATGTGCGCACCAATTCAGTGTAATGGTACAAGCGTCACAGACTAACAAGTTTAGATCACATGTCACCAACACGAAGGTGGAGTAGGAAATAAGCCACCAAAAATAAATGCCAATTGCACAGGTAAGGGCTGTTCTGTACTCTGTCCGGTCAGGTGGGACGTGATCACATGTTTGCGA